ATGCAAGAACATTGTTCCTTCCACAAAAGCCCGTGACTGCTTTTAAAAGAAAGAACAATGCATTGTGAAGATAAATGCCATAAAAAAAGTTCCGTTCAAAAGATTTCACCTCAATGGGAAGGAAATTGAAAGGTTTAGTAAGGGACCCTTGAAGCAATGAAAAGTCGACAATTCAACCCTTTCTCCCTGTGCATAACAAGCTGTTCTCTGCTGGTCTCATTCTCATTCAATTAACTTTAATAACGCTAAAAGGGAGAAGTGGCGAAGGCTGAAAGAATTCATAACGGCTTGAATTTTTACTTCCTAAGTCAATTGGCGAAACATTTAAAAATTTGGATACCTGGATTAAATGATGTCGGTCATCATTTCCGTCTGTCTGTCTTTTGATGTCCTGGTGTCTGTCTGGCAATTGTGGGCCTATCTATAACTCGGAAAGTACCTCGGATATTGATGAGGTGCTCACGCTTGCGAAGGACGAAAAAGGTTTGTCAGTGTTGAAAATATGTCCAGTGGCGGCGGAATTACGAACGAAAAACAAAAAATGTCAATTCGAACCCAGACTTTGCTTTTTATGTTTTTCGATATCCCGTTGATTTTTGGAGATGCTCAGAAGCACTGATCAGTCAGCTTCCAGTTATTTCGAGGATCTCTCCTTAAAAGGCTGCTTGAAAAAAAATCGCTTAAACTTTGTTTTTAAAAAACACAACATATTTTAAAAAGGCGTAAAAATCATAGAAGCTTCCGTGAATTTTGCAAATTCTAATAATAACCACAAGCCGCGGCAACTCAGCGGTGAGCGATCTGTTCGAGAACGATTCAATTCAATTCAATTCAATTCAATGGACTTTATTGTAACACATACATAATTATGTATCCCTACAAAAGTCTGGCCAATGGCCATTTATACTTAACCATAAATGTCATGTCAATGTTTATCACTACCTTAAAAATAAAATAAAAAACTGAAAAAGAAAAGGAAAAAGAAGAATAATAGTAAAAGAAGAATTAATAAATATGACATAATGCGTACGATTAGAACAAAAAACATAATACGTACGATTCAAAGAGAAGACAATAACCTAAGAGCTCAATAAGTAGTTCTTATATTTTTTTTTAGAAAAGTTGCTGATGAAATATTGTTCGAAAGAGTTGATCAATTTCACCGCATTATACGTAAAAGACCGTTGAAAAATGGCTGTCCTATGTTGTGGCATTGTCAGGAGATTAATGTTGCGCGTTTTCAAATTGTGAATTAAATTCCTACGAACAAGCTTTTGCATAAGATAAACCGGAACAGAAGTTTTTAATATTTTTACGACAAATGTAACAAAGTTGTATTTGAAAAGATCAGAAATTTTCAACCAATTCATTGAATATATTGAGTGAGAAACATGATCGTACCTTCTTAAATTGTTTATGTAACGACTACATGAGTTTTGCATTTTTTGCAGTCTGTATTTTGTGATTTCATCCAGACAGGGATAATAAACTATGTTGCAGTAAGCGATTTTACTGAGTATGAGTGACTCGCATAACATTTTCTTAAATTTTCTATTTAAAACAGTTTTACTTGCATATAGAAGCCTGAGTCTAAAATAACTAGACTTACACACATAGCCAACATGCTCCTGAAATCTGAAATCTTCATCCAAATATACTAAGTGACATGTAAATCCGAACACCCAGTTTAAATGGTTTTATTTTAATAAAAGCTGGTGAATGTATTTATCTTACTGTAAATAACAAGTGAAAAAATTGTCAGCCTTATCAGTTGGACATTACGGTTTTTATACTGCTTTTTTTTTAAATCACTAACGCTCTAAAAATGAATATTTCAGTCGCAGTAAAGAATCAACGTTGGCAGATTTTGGTTCTTGACATCCTTTACGATCGGTTACGATGCCTAGAGTACGGAGACCTGTACGATTTCGTCAACTTAGTGAGTTTGATAGGGGCCGTATAGTGGGACTTCGGGAAGCTGGACTTTCTTTTAGGGCAATTGCAGTTAGAGTGCAAAGAAGTGTAGACACTGTGGTTAGGTGTTGTCAGGCATGGCTTCGAGAAGGCCGTACGCAAAGAGCAAGGGGCACTGGACGCCGCCGTAGAACAACAGACCGTTCGCCGCCTAAGATTATTGGCCTTAAGGGACCGTTTCTCCACTACCAGGCCCATTGCAAATGAATGGTTTGCAGAACACGGAAGACCTATTGGCATGCGAAGTGTTTACCGACGAATGAGAAGTTTTGGCTTGTTTTCATACCGGCCACATTGGGTCCTCCCTTTAACTCGAGAACACCGACGTAATCGCCTTGAGTGGTGCAGACAACGGTCACTCTGGGATCAGGAATGGAACAGTATTGTCTTTAGTGACGAGTCTCGATTTTGTTTAGGCATGCACGATGGTCGTGCCAGGGTTAGAAGGCGACGTGGTGAAAGGAGGAATCCACAGTTTTTTGTTGAAAGACATGTTCATCACACTGTTGGAGTTATGGTTTGGGGTGCTATAGCTTATGGTTCCAGGTCACCTTTAATCTTCATCAGAGGTAACATGAACGCGCAGCGTTATATCCACGAAGTTCTAGAACCCCATCTTTTACCCTATCTTGACACCCTGGCAGATCCAACTTTCCAACAAGATAATGCCCGACCACATGTTGCAAGAGTCACAATAGACTTCTTTCAACATAATGAGGTCACATTGCTACCATGGCCACCAACATCTCCCGACTTATCCCTAATTGAGCACGTGTGGGATATGATGGGTAGAGATTGCTCAATTTGCAACGTCCTCCTCAGACTCTAGAAGCACTTCGAGAGGAGTTGGTGTTTGCCTGGAATGAGATACCACAGGAGGACATTGACCACCTGATCAGAAGCATGCTTAGGCGCGTTGGAGAATGCGTAGCACATCAGGGTGCATCCACACATTATTAAAGGTCAAAGGGCTTTAAAGCATTTTGAAATTTTTATCATTTACTTATTATGCTTCATTAAGTACTTATACAAAATTTTATTAAAATAAAACCATTTAAACTGGGTGTTCGGATTTATATGTCACTTAGTATACAAACCTAAATTTTTTGCAGAATGGGAAAATATTAGGATACTATTATTTAGTGATAAATTTAACTTTGATTTGAGGAAAGTACGTTTTTTCTTGGAGCAAAAAAGTATAGCTGTCGATTTCGATGCGTTTAGACGTAAATTATGTTTTGCAGCATATGTGCATAAGTATTGCAGATCTTGATTGATAAGGTTGTTAGCTAAGTGGTAGTTGTTCGGACAGAAATTATGAAAAACCTGCATATCATCAGCATATGATTGACTAGAACAATGTTGAAGGGTGTTAGAAATGTCAAAGTTCTATATAAGAAATAAAAGTGGACCTAATATGGATCCCTGAGGCACGCCGGAACAAATCGGCCTTTTGTCTGAAAGTTTATTTTGTATGACGATATATTGATGTCGTTCATTTAAATAGCAATCTATCCATTCCAGAACCAAGTCGTCACACCCAATGTATTTACATTTAGAAACTAACAGCTTATGATTCAGGGTGTCAAAAGCCTTGCTGAAATCCAATAAGACTAATGCAGTTGCTTCTTGCCTATCCGCTGCTGTTAGTACATCGTCACAAACCCGTGCCAAAGCAGTAGTGGTACTGTGACCCTTTCTAAAGCCTGATTGATTTAATGGCAAAATGCTGCGTTCGAGTAAATACTCATTCAACTGCATATAAACTATTTTTTCTAGAATTTTTGATAGAGCTGACAGGGGATTGGGAATCTTTGGAAGAGGTTGCACTAATGCTTGCTTCCAAGCACTTGGAAAAACACCGCGCTCTAAACAACAATTTATTAAGTGCAAAATGTATATTCCTACAGCAGGTAGACACAATTTAATCATCTCAATGGTAATGCCATCAATACCACTAGATTTGGACTTGATACTCGAACAGCATCCAATACTGTAGATATATCGACAAGACGGAACTGAAAATGAAAATCTTGGTTTAATTTGTTATGGCTATAAAATTCGATAGTTTCCGAGCAATCATCGTCACTTTTCTGGAATATACTGGTAAAATAGTTATTTATTTCATTGGGAACTGCTAAATCATCTGGAATGTCAGTATTACTAGAACCCTGAATTCTAAATGACTTAAGAGCTTTATAAAGAGCTGCAGAGTTTCTTTGTTGAGATAGATGTTGAAGGTAGCCTGATTTCTCTGCACGTGTAGCAGTTTTTGTAAAATTTCTCAGTTCATTGTAATGATTTCGATTCGCATCCGTTCGAGACCGTCTATATTTATGAAAAGCCTTATCTCGTTCTTTCATTATCATTTTAAAATTGTTTGTGAGCCATGGTGCACAAGGCTTAGACACTCTCACTGTTTTTAGTGGTGCATGTATGTCAAAAAGTCCTACAATGTTATCGGAAATAAATTTTACTTTCTCATCGATATTAGCCATATAAATAACTTCAGCCCAAATAACGCTAAATAAGTCATCGTCAAAAGAGGTTAGATCAAAATTGCGATAGTCTCTAAATGTAATTAGTCTAGGTGGTGGTTTATTGTTTGTATACGAAATGTGACAGAATACAGCCTGATGGTCACTAAAGTTAACAGTGAAAGTTCCCACTTTGGAACATAGTTGAAGAAAACCGGATCTAAAAGCGTTGAAGAATGATCAATTATTCGAGTTGGTTCATTCAATAACGATCTCGATAGAATTGAACGGAATAAATGCGCAAGGCGGTTGGGTTAGAGTTGGCCTGCAATTAAAGAAATTATTAGCAGTAGTAAGAAGATGAAGACATACCATTTCCATTCGGAATGGAAAGAACAATGTTCTTTACAGAAGTTCAAGATAAAAATGTATGTTTGTTATGTAATACATCTGTTTCCGGTGCTAAAAAAGGTAATATCGAGAGGCACTATAAAAGTGTACATTCGAATTTTGAAAGATCATTTCCATTACGTTCTGCAACCAGAACGGTAAAACTGAAACAATTAAGAAATTAGTTAATTGGACAAGAGACAATGTTTTTAAAAACAATCGACAAAAGTAATTCTGGAACGGAAGCATCATACCGGGTGTCCCAGATAATCTGAGTGCTGGAACGTTTTAATGATATCATATCTGCCATAGTTCAATTTTCAAACAACATGATGAACCGATTCCGGAACTGGAAAATTCAATCTGGCTTAGATATTTTGGTTTTCTTGTGGATATTACAGAAAAATTAAATGAAATGCAGCTTCAGAGGAGAGACAAAGAACAGAAGAAATGATTTCTGATATAAAAACGTTTATCAAAAAGCTTGAGTGTTGGGAGCAAAACTTAATCGAGGCATTTTCCTGTTCTTTCAGAAAAGATATCTCAAAGTCCATTAGAACCATATGACAGTAAATATCATGTAGACATACATAGTCTCTAACTTGAAGAATAACTTCAAAAATCGATTCAAGGATTTCAACGAAATTGCTACAGTGGCGCAATTTGTTGTTTCACCTGCATGGAAATTGATATCCAACAGTTTGCAAGTTCTATTACGCAGAATTTTGACGAAGACATCGCTGCGACAGAACGGGAACTGATTGCGTTTCAAAATGATTTAGGTTTAAAATCATTAGTCTCAAATACATAATGTATCTGGCCTTCAGTAAGTAAAGATAAATATTTTATGTCGTGTTGCTTTGCAAGTGACAGCGTTATTTAGTTCAACCTATTTGTGTGAATCGTCTTTTTCAAATATGAAGTTAATTAAAAACAAATACCGTAATCGACTTACAGTTTAACATTTTTATAATTGTACTCGAATGGTGGTATCAAATTATACTCCAAACATTAAAAACAAAGTCGAGCAATGTGAAGTATACACCTCTGTTATGTCCTTAAAAAATCGTAAAAGTCCTGGGTTCGATGGTATTAAAAGCGAGTATTTGAAAATTATAGCCGAGGACATAACAGAACCACTCACTTACCTAATCAACAAATGCTTTGAATCTGGCATATATCCCTCAATTTTTAAAAAAGGTAATATAATACCGATACATAAATCAGGAACAAAAACAGATGTTAACAACTATAGACCAATATCAATAATATCCAGTGTAGCAAAGGTTTTTGAAAAAGTTTTATCTACTAGAATGATTCGATACCTCACAAAATTCAAAATTTTAAGTGAAAATCAATATGGATTTACAGAAGGGAAGGCTACATCGGACGCAATAACTAAAATTGTAAATCAAATACATCAAAATATTGATAACAGAATCCCTTCAATCTGCATTTTTGTTGACTTAAAGAAAGCTTTCGACACAGTTAATCACAAATTATTATTAGAAGCATTGGAGAGAATTGGTTTCAGAGGAAACGCGTACTCACTGATCGATAGTTATGTATTTGTCAAATCGCCCACAATCTGTGCAGATATCAGGATCATTTAGTAAAGAAATGTATATTAAGTGTGGTGTCCCACAAGGAACTGTCTCAGGTCCGCTGTTATTCAATATATATTTAAATGATATTTTCCAAATTAATTGTGTTGGCAAAATATCTAGTTTTGCAGATGATACTGCAATATTATATGAAGGCACTGACTGGTCAGATCTGAAAAATGTAATTGAAAATGATTTTATCAAAATTATTCGGTGGTTTAACAGTAGAAAATTAAGCATTAACTACTCTAAAACACATTTTTTACCATTTGGATCTTATGCTAGACATCTGCCAAATTACACAAATTTCTCCTTCAATATTAATGATCAAAAAATGCAAATTAATAGAGTGCCCAACATAAAATACCTTGGAGTGGTCTTGGATCCTCACTTACGATGGGACATCCATGTCAATTATATTTTAAAGAAAGTTGGATTTGTATCCTACAAAATTAAATACCTTGGGAATATATTGACAGAAAAATATCTTCGAACATTATACCATGCACTGATTGAGCCTCATCTCACATATGGTATATTAGCATGGGGAGCTGCATGTTCCTCACATATCTATAATTTAGATGTTTTTCAAAAAAGTATTCTAAAAATGATATTTAAAAAACCGAAACTTTATCCCACTGAAAAATTATACGCAGATGTTCGAATGTATGATATAAGACAGCTTTATTTCTTACACAGTATCACTCACTACCATAAATTTGTAAACACCGACCAAAAAATTAAACATAATCATTATACCAGGTACAAAATTCGTGGCACAGTAGTTCCTCAACGGCATAAATCTATAATGCAGCGATCATATCTCTATTTAGCGCCTAAATTTTATGAAATTATACCTAAAGACTTAAAAGATTTACGTTTCGGAAATTGTTTCAAAAGAAATTTAAAAAAGTGGCTACGTTCTATATCTAGGACTGAAATTCATAAACTCATAAATACGAACTTCAACTAAATACATAATCTACTATAGTTAATTTTTGTCCTTTTTTGTCATTTGCATTCTACAGTTTCAACTTAAATTATTGGTCCATGTACAGGCGATTGGGCCTGTTTTGATTTTATATTTATTTACTCATATTGTTTGTTATCTTTGTACATTGAGTGAATAAATATTATTATTATTATTATTATTGTCAGGGAGTCTGAGTGTCAGGCTTCTAATTGAACACGCATTTTCTATCTGGACATGTTTTTGTGTAAAAAAGTGCGTTGCTTTTTTATTTTAAGTTACCGTTATTAAATCGTGTGTGACATGCCATTGTAGCAGACGATTTTTTTTTATTTTTCAAACACCTACGATTGGTAGGAATGGATGTAGTTATGTACGAGTAGTACGTATTAGTTATTAGATTATTTAAGTTTATTAGTATGTGTTAGTATCAGTAAAATAAACACATGTAAGTCGCATACAACTGTGTATAACTTCATTTAAGTTGGCTTGCATTGCTTATGACTAGGCAGCTCACTGTTTATTCCAGAATTATCAAAGTAGCTCAACACACTAAAAAGTTTGTCGACTACTGTTTTAGAGGCTCCTCATCACTTTCGAAAAAATGATTGTTGGGGTTGAAAATTGGGAATTTGGCTTGTGGGGAGTGAAAATGTTACGTCTCTAGTATCAGTCAAAGACGTTCTACCATTAAGTAGCTGCCGATCCTGGTATCAGCAGGAAAATTAAATGATAAAAGTCCGATGTATTATGTGCTCATAATTCGAAATAACTTACAATCTTTGGCGTTGCTTGCGCGGCGCGATGCTGCAATGCTGCATCGTCGTGGAGGCCACTACCGACTGTGGCAAGCGCAATAGGTAACTGGTGTACTGCGGCGATGTCGACACGGACAGACCTCTACACAGGAATATTTGAGTATTGATAGCACAGACCAATTTAGCGCTCTGCTTTTGTGAATGATGACTTAATTGTTTTTATATCTACCCACCCATTTCACCCAACCTTTAAATTGCGTTACTCAGTATATGATGGTTCTATGAATATTTCGTCAAGTAGATTGACTAAGTACTCATTACGCATTGATATGCAACTCGGACTGCCAAACCGACATGAAACACGGACAGTGGCGGCTGAACTACGTGCAAAAAAAAAATAAAAATCGCTGAAACATAGTGTTACGACATGACAGAGATTCCTGCTCATTTTAAGACAATTGTTTTTAGGGGTAGAATATTTTAAGTATACGGTAAATGGTTGTAAACTATTGCATGTTGCCGGAAATATGATATATTCATTTTATAAAGTTTGAGGGTGTTGCATTTTTGACACAAAAAAATGAAAACATTGTCTCTATACACACCATTATATTATCAGATGAAAAAGATTTAGAATTCTGCTGCAAACAGGTAGTTGAGAAAAAATCTAAAAAAGGAACGTGTCACCTTAAGGTACAGAAAGCTTTTGGCAAGGTGGGTACCGCAACCGCTATCTAAATAAAAAAATAGCGTCAAGTAGATTGATTCTATACTTCCTACGCCTTCGTTGGAGGAAGAAAAGGCATAAGTCAAGACGTTTCAAAACGCAGAATCCTGACAAGTGTATCTAACGAAGCTACAAAGTAATCGTAAACAGTGGTTGATTCGTGATCAACGCGTGATCGGTAGCCATGGCGCTCTGTCGGCCTCTTCCTGATTGGCTTGTAGCGACGAGCCTCCAGACAAAGTCGCACGGTTGCCACGCTCGGCGAGTTTTCGCCAGAGTGGTTGATCACATTCGCATGGATCACAAATCAATCTGTTGGTGCAATACGTGCAATAACTGTTGTAAAGGACATTATATAACAATAAATGGCATCACAAAGGTATATTCCAATTTGATCTGCAGCAAATTATGAACGGCATATACGGAGATGCGAAAACAAGCTCAAAAAGGTGAAGAAAATTTTTGTGCAATCTTTATAGTTAAATTTTTCCTAAGAGATAGCATCAGTGAGGGAATTTTTTTCTATTGTCTTATTTTTCACATTAATGCGATGTCGAGGTATGTGGCCCTATCGCAATTGAAAATAAGGTTTCGATAATCCTTCCATAAAGTTTCGATGAGTACATCTGAAATAACCTTGAGATATTCTTCAGGGAAATACAAAAATCTCCTTTTGTGTTTTTTTGTGCAGATTTATCTATTAAAATCCTATCCGCAATCTATTTTCCGTGCACACACCTTCAACCGAATGTATGCCATATATGATATTACCGTTTCCAACTTTCACCAAGGTTAATAGGAACCATAACAGCTCCCTACTCTTCCCCCCTATAAGAATATCGATTTGTAGCCTCACATTTCAAGGTTAGACTTCTTGTAATGTTTCTGTTCAACATTCGGCGATTTCTGACAATTTTCCCAATAAAACATGATCATTGTGACATTAAGCCTGGCAACGCTGCATAGTAGAGGGAACTCTCAGCGTCACGTTGATGGTTCATCACCACGCACAGGATTGTAATCAGTTACCAATACCCGTTTATGAGCGCGAACGTTTTATGCACGTCTTGACTTGATTTTTCTTGCGGAAATTTAATATTAGTCTAAAATGTCTGACACAGATACAGCTGATGAAGTGGTTGAAATCAGCTTAACGCCACCCAGCAAAAGGGTTAAAAAGCTTCATCTTAGCGCAGGTGAGAAACAAATTATTCTAAATATCTACAAGAACCAGATGCAAGAGAATAGTGGATTGGCTATAGAAAATATCGTATGTAAGGTTGCTGAAATTTCTGGAGTAGGTCGATCAAGTGTTTACAAAATCTTGAAGGAATATAGACAAAATCACTCACTATCTGAGCCAAAAACATATCCAGCGAGAAAAAAAATCATCGAAAAAATAGATGACTTTGACAAAAGTGCCATTAGAAGAAAAGTACATCACTTTTGCTTCAGGAATGAAATACCTACAATAGATAAAATATTGAAGCAAGTGAAT